ATCTCTAAATGGGGACTGTCTGGAGGATGGAATGCACTTGTATCTGTAAAGCACATAGAATAGGGCTGGGGTGTGGATGCACACAGGTAGCTCAGGTCCTCCCATTTCCTGTGGCTCCCTTCTCTCCTTCCCTTCATTAGTGTCATTCACTTTTACAAGTACGTGCTGCTGCTTCCTCTGCCGCAGCCACTTTTCCTACATAAGTTCCCTCACAACCACCTAATGAGGCAGAGCCAATTGTGATTCTGGAATTTCAGATGAGCAAACTGAAGGGCAGAGCAGGGGGGCCCTCGGCCTGAGGTCGGGCTCCAGAAACCAGGCTCCCCACCCTGGGCCATTCAGGTAAGTAACACCTCAGCTGTCGAGAACACTGGCCAGCCGGCCTCTGAAACCTTGCCAGGAGACCAGAAGGAGTCCTCAAAGGCTCGGGCATTCAAGGGAGGGTCAGTCAGAGCTGGGCGGCCTGGTTCTGTCCTTGTTGGTTTCTGGGCAGTCCTAGGCCCTGCCCTCCTGAGGCTCCCAATCCTGGGGGGACACACTCATCACCTAACAGTGAAAACCCAGAGTAGACAGGGCTAGGATGGGGGAGCCCAGGGGCTGGGGCATTCCAGAGGGGGGCACCTGACCCAGTGTAGAGGTAAAGGAGGACTTCCTGAAGGAGGGGACATCTGAGCCATTTGAAAGATTGTCAGGAGTCAATCTGGCAAAAAGGGTGCTGCTTATATTGTTCCAGGCCATATCCTCGGTTCCTTCTCCCTTCTCTAGTGTCAGTCTCTTTCTCCCTCTCCCTCTTGCAGTCTCCCCCTCTCTTTTTCCTTCTCCCCCTCTCCCTCCCTCCATCCTTCCCTCCTTTCCTTCCTTCCTTTCTCCCTCTCTCCTTCCCTTCCTGTTTTCCTTCCTTCCCTATCTTTCATGGAGCCTGGAACCCTCTCCTTCCATTCTCTTCACCTGACTCTCATCCTCTAGGTCCCAGCTCCAGCATCCCCTCTGGGCTGCACAGCCCTAAACACTCTGGGTCATCACTGTCTGGGGACGAATCTGTCTCCACACTGGACTGTGTGCCCTGGGAAGGCAGGGTGGAGGCTGATGTGAACGCATACAGGGCCCGTGCCCTCCCAGGGCTTAGTTCAAATGGGGGAGATGGTTAACAAGCGAAAAACAAAACAAAAGCAAGTCATTGTTCATCAGGTCTGTGCTCTGGAGAAAAGTAAAGTGGGGTTCAGGGCGGGGACACCTGTTTCAGGCCAGGTAGTACGAGAAGAACCCTCTGAAACTCAAGTCCAGAGGGGGTATGTAAGTTGCCCAGGGACACCCAGCTAGTGAGAAGCAGAGCCAGGGATTGGGCCCAGCAGGCCACCTACTCGTGGATCTGTGCTGGCCCCTATGCCAGGCTCCCACCCAGAGATCACCCTGGCATGGGGGTGGGTTAGAGTAGCAGCATTTTGGTCTTGGCCTTGGCTTAGAATCCCTGCCTGACACTTGCTATGTGNGTCCTTGTCTTTTACCTTCCCTGAACTCACTCAACCCCAGCCTCAGCCCCACCCCTACCAACCTCTCACTGATCCTTGCACAGAAGCCTCACCCCCACCTCAGGGCCTTTGCACCTGCTGTTCCTTGTGTCAAGAATGCTCTTCCTCCCATCTGGTGTGTCGCTCCTTGGGTCTCTGTTGATAAGTCCCCTTCTCCTTGAGGCCTAAGTGGATTCCTTCTCCTTCTCACTTCCTGTTCTCCCACTTGATGCCCTGTTTGGCTTGTTTACTGCTTTGGGGAGCTGGACAGCCAGGGGAGACTCACATTTGCCTGATTCAAATCTCCACTCTGGTGCTCACTCACATATCCCCTCTGGACCATGGGGAGGGTTCGAGGAGACTCCTGAGGTCCTGAAAGAAGTAGTGCCCAGCTGGGGCCTTGAGGGGTGGGTGGTTGGGTGGACTGGTGGGTAGAATCGGATCTGGTCCTGGAGAATATGGTCTGAAGGGACAAGGCCTGAGCTAGGGTGGAACGGTTAGGACGTGGAGAAGGGAGCAGGCTGAGGAGACCTTTCTGAGCGCAGCTGCAAGTCTCAGTTTCCCTATCTGTAAACGGGGAGGCTGGACCAATATCCAGCCAAGGTACACCTGTTCTTGCAGCACCACCTCACGCTTCTTCCTCCTCTTCCTCCATCTCCACAGCGAAGGACTACGAGAACGCAATCAAGTTCTACAGCCAGGCCATCGAGCTGAACCCCAGCAATGCCATCTACTATGGCAATCGCAGCCTGGCCTACCTGCGCACCGAGTGCTATGGCTATGCCCTGGGTGATGCCACGCGGGCCATCGAGATTGACAAGAAGTACATCAAGGGCTATTACCGCCGGGCCGCCAGCAACATGGCACTGGGCAAGTTCCGGGCTGCCCTACGTGACTATGAGACGGTGAGCTGGGCTAAGGGGAGGGGCTATCTCCCTTGCCTGAGCTAGGTGGATGCTGAGGGCCCGCCTGGGACTGGGCGGGGCGGGCTCAGGGAGCATGGCTAGAGGGGTAGGTGTGAGGAACAAGTGGTATTTACCTACCACTCACTTGTGCAGCAAATGCCCGTGATGCCCCTCGGTCTGGAGCAGACTGCCCAGGTTCACCTGCATGCCCTGCTGTCCCACACTTCATGACCCTGGCCAAGGTCACCACCTCTCACACCTTCCTCTGCATATCTGTGAACTGAGGAAAGCATAGGACCTGCCCTTAAGGGTTGCTGGAGGGAATACATGAGGCTGTGCTTTTCCAGTGCTTAGAGTGGCACCTGGCACATAGTCAGTGTTCTTTGATAATTAGCCATCATCATGGTTGTCGCTATTGCCATTAGAGTTGAGCAAGAGCCACACAGCCCTCTTCTGATGGAGTTCATAACTCCGGGTGCACAAAAAAGCAACCCCATGTCACTGAATAGGTGAGCACAGTAACTGCAGATGTGGAGCTGAGCTCTGAAGGAAATACACAGGGCAATGCACTGGGGAGAGACTGCAAAGGGGAGGTGGCGTGGTGTGGTGATGAGGGAGGATCTAGAGCCAGTCACTCCTCTGCCACTGCCCCCACTGATGACATGCTCTGATGACCCTACCAGTAGTGGTAGGGACTTGCAGAGTGGTCATCTTCACATCACTGGGTTCTGCGTCCTTCATGGAGATCAGCTGGCTGAATCATTGTAGCAGCCCTGAGAGGTAAGAACTGTGATCGCCTCCATTGTACAGATGAGGAAACTGAGGCCTAGAGCAGTTAAGTCACCTGCCCAGTAACCCCCAGCTGCTAAGTGGCGGGAAGCCTGGGCTTCAGGGCCTTGTCTCTCCCGACTCAGAGAGCTCCCTGAGAGCAGGGGTGTGTGTTCTGTTCATTGGGACAGTGCTTGGTGCACCCTGGGGCTCAGTATGTGTTAAATGGGTTATTATTCTGCCACCCCCCCATATGTAGATATGCCTTCCCTCCCTCCTTCCACTGCATCCATTACACACTCTGAGCAGCTTCTGTTGGGTAGGGAGGAGCAGCCACTGGGCTGAGAAGCCACAGTCTGCAGTTGGAGGGAGTCAAGTCAGATGGCTTGGACTGCTGGCCCCTGGCCTGGGGAGGGGAGTGGATTTTGGGCCAGGTGAAGGCTTGAGTCAATAGGGAGGAGCAGCCACTGGGCTGAGAAGCCACAGTCTGCAGTTGGAGGGAGTCAAGTCAGACGGCCTGGACTGCTGGCCCCTGGCCTGGGGAGGGGAGTGGATTTTGGGCCAGGTGAAGGCTTGAGTCATGCCCGGGACCAGGGACACCTGTGTTACAGAGGGGGCAGAGGTCTGGAGGAGGGCTGGGGTAACAGAGCAGCAGAGCTGAGTCTTTACAAGCTTGAGCTCCCAGACATTCCCTGGCCAAGCCCCTCTGGTGTTGTCCCTTGGTGTCCTCATCTGGAAAATGGTGACAAGAGGAGTGGGGCTCTGATGAAGTGAGTGAGTAAAGGTCACTGGGGCTGGAGGCCTCAGTAATGAGTAACCACTGATAGAAGGGGCAGGCTTCAGGTGGAGCAGACTGGGGGCAGAAGACAGAGGAGCCCAGGGCAAGGAACAGGGCTTCTTTTCGTGACTCTGGCCTTGTCTGCTGCCTAACGCCACACAGTCCACAAGGTGGGTGGTGGGTTCCAGGCATCCTATGGATGTAGCACATCTGGTCTGTCTCCCTGGCCTTGTGGATGCCATGGAGGGAATGGTGAATCAGAGCTCTTACCAGAACCAACCTGAGGTGGGCCACAGCCAGCACCTAAGTTGTCCTGGCCTATTTCCCTGTGGGGGCTCTCCTGGCAGTGCTGGGACCCCCTATGAGCCTGAGATCCTGCCATCAGCAGGCCATCCACATGCCTGCAGGCCTTCAGCCCAATATTCTCATTTGATTCTTCAGGCTGTGTGTGCCCTGGGGCAGCTCCCCATCCCAAGAGGTTACCTCTTGCCCCCCAGAGGCTGTCTTGTGACAAATGCTGGGGTTTCATGGAGAACATGCCCAGGCCTTGTCCTCTTAGACCAGGAGATCAGTTGTGGAAAGAGAGGCAGTATATGACCTTGGTTGAAACTGACAAGCTCAAGGCTGCCTCTCAGCTTCCTGGCCCTTGGTTAGGCCCTCTGGGTCTCAGCCTCGGTTTGCTTCTCTATGTGCTTGCTGTGGGCCCAATTCACTGCTCTGAGGTCTTTCCAGGCATGAATTCAACCCTTTTTACAGGATGGAAACTGAGTTCTAAAGTGGGGAAGCCCCTCCTCCAAGATCACCTAGCAGGGAAGCAGCAGAGCTGGGACTTGAACCCAGAGTCTGTGGTTGTACCTGTTAGTCAGGTGCAAAGTCAGTTGGATGGTTTGAGATCAGCACTTTTGTCTTCATCAAATAGAGAAGAAAAAACAGTTCATTGTTGGAGAAAGTGTGTAATACTGTCTTGTGAAAAGTATTTCACTTACATGAATATAGACAGGTGTCAGGTGTGATGTAAAATACAGGTTTCTTACTGTGGGTCATGGTCCGAAGGTCTGAAGGTCACCAGTGCAGGGGTTGGAGGCGCATGCTCTGTGCTCAGAACACCCAGGTTCACAGCCAGCTCAGATTGGATACAAGCTGTGTGGCTCCCAGTGCTTTGGCTCTCAGGCCTCAGTGTCCTCGTCTGTAAAAAGGGTGAGAATATAGGAATAAAAACCAAAGTGGTTTTTCTATACTCTCACTCAACAATCAACACAGAAGACTCTTGTGACTTCTGGTCACCAAATGTGTGGAGATTTCTGTTCACCAGCAACCAGTCAGTTCTGCGTCGCACAGCAGCTGGGTGTCCTCTAATTCAATTCAATTCTGACGCTGTCTACCTGCAGATAGTATCAGATCCCACAGATTGAGGACTCAGGCCCACAAGACTGCCTCCCTCTCTTCCAGTGCCACTCGCCAGCCCCAGATTGTTTTACCTGTGCTTCTGTCTAATTGGCTATAAATCGGGGTCCCCATGACCCCTTCCTCGGATTCTATTAGTTTGCTAGATAGGATCACAGAATTCAGGGGAACACTTATATTTACTTGTTTATTATAAAGGGTATTGCAAAGGATACAGACAAAGAGATGCACAGGGTGAGGTATGGGGAAAGGAGCATGTCTTGGGCACGCTACCCTCTGCCCCTGTGTTCAGCTATCTAGAAACTCCCAGAATCCAGTCTTTTGGGGTTTTATAGAAGCTTCATTACATAGGCATGATTGACTAAATAATTGGCCACTGGTAATCAATTTAACCTTCAGCCCCTCTTCACTCCCTGGAAATTGGGGGGTGGGGCTGAAAGTCCTAACCCTCTAATCCTGTCTTGGTCTTTCCTGACCATTTACCAACCTAGGGGCTGCCAGCCATCAGTTGACTCATTAGCATACAAAAAGACATGTATTACTTTGGAGATTCCGAGATTTTAGCACTTGTATGCCACGAAACAGGACAAAGAGATATTATATATTATTTTACAGTATTACAGGGGATATAACAATAGGGCCTGCCTCATAGTGTGTTGTGAGTATTAAATGAGATCAGTAGAATAATAGGGCCTGCCCCATGCTTAGGTGTCTCCTGGAGGTGTCTGGGATTCCACACTATGATGGGGAAAGAGTCTCTGCCCCACCGAAAGGGCTGTTCTTAGGGGACTGGGGGAGCTGGGTGTATCTCCATTCTGCTCTCCCTCTAGGGCCTAGCTACAGACCCTAGGTCGTTGATCTCCGTTTCCAGTGGTTCCATGTTGAATTCCCCCCCAACATATACCCTTCATCTCCCCATTAATCCTTTCAGATGGTGTGATGGTTAATTTTAGATGTCAGCTTGACTGGATTAAGGAATACCTATAGATCTGGTAAAGCATTAATTCTGGGTGTGTCTGTGAGGGTGTTTCCAGAGGTGATTGGCTGTGAGTGGGAAAGAGCTGCCCTCAGTGTAGGCAGGCATCATCCAATGCTGAGAAAGACTTCTTTTTCTCCTGGGACTAGGGCACACTCTTTCCCTCCTGCTCTTGGACATCAGGACCCTAGGCTGTCTCTGAGTTTGGGACTCCAGGACTTATCCCAGTGCTCCCCACTCTCCCCTACCCCTGGCCCCTGGTTCTCAGGCCTTCAGCCTCAGATTGAGAATTACAGGAGACCTGAAACGTCACAATGGCCCAGGTCATTACTCCAGTCAGAGTACGGGTTTGTGGAGGTCAGGTGATCAGTGGAGTTTTAGCTCACGTCCAACTCACAGTGGGTCCCTGAACCCATCCCATGGTCATTTCCCCAGTTCCAGAATGTGTAATTGGAATAGACATATTTAAGAGCTGGCAGAGTCTTCTCTTTGGTCCCTAACCTGTGAGTTGAGGGCTATTATGGTGGAAAAGGCTATTAGAGCTGCCTCTAGCCAGGAAAATCGTAAATCAGAAACAATACCACATCCCTGGAAGGATTGCAGAGATTAGTGCCATCATTAAGGACTTGAAAGATACAGGGGTGGTGATTCCCACCACATCCCCTTCAAGTCTCTTGTTTGGCTTGTGTAGAAGACATATGGATCCTGGAGAATGACAGTGGATTATCTTAAGTTTAACCAAGTAGTGACTCCAGTTGCAGCTTCTTTTCCAGATGTGGTTTCATTGGTTGAGCAAAATTAACACATTTTCTGGTACCTAGTATGCAGCTATTTATCAGGCAAAAATCTTTTTTTCTCTATGTCTGTCGCTAAGATCCACCAGAAGCAGTTTGCTTTCACCTGGCAAGACCAACAATACACCTTCACAGTCCTACATTAGCTCTCCAGCCCAATGTCACAATTTAGGTTGTAGGGATTTTGATCACCTTTCCCTTCCGCGGGATATCACAGTGGTTCATTACATTGATGAAATGCTGATTAGACCTAGCGTGTGTGAAGTAGCAACTACTCTGGACTTATTGGTAAGATGGTGTCATGTGAGCCAATTCTCCTAACAAATCCCCCTTCATATACAGTCGTGTGTTGCTTAACAATGGGGGTATGTTCTCAGAAATGCATTGTTAGGCAATATGATTGTGTGAACATCACAGTGTATTTACACAAACCTAGATGGCATACCTTACAAACCTCGATGGTGTACCTAGATGGTACACCGAGGCTATATTGTATAGCCTGTTGCTCCTACACTGCAAACTTGTACAGCCTGTTACTGTATGAATACTGTAGGCAGTTGTAATACAGTGGTATTTGTATCTAAACATATCTATTTAGACATAAAAATATGATATTATGATCTTATCAAACTGCTGTCATATGTGCGGTTTGTCTTTGACCAAAACATCATTACGCTGCATGACTATATCTGTCTACATGTATATGTCCTATTAGTTCTGTCTCTCTGGAGAACCCTGACTAATACATATGGACACCCCCCCGCCCCCCATTGAGTCTTCTTTTCAGGAAACACCACCTGTATTGTTCTTTCCTGTCTGTGCTCTAAACTCACTTGGTCATGCAAGCCCAGGTCAGATCTGTGGGACTCCTTCTGCCCTCCTCACCCCTTCCTGGGATCTTCTGGTTTTTTGCTTTGGTTTGTGATATGGTCTGGCCTTGGGTTTCTTATAGCATAGTCTAGTACAGTCAGTTAGAAATGTATTTTGCTTCGAAAGGCTGTACACAGCGATGGTATGGATATATAAAGGTAACAGCAGGCCGGCCTGTGGCTCACTCGGTAGAGTGCGGTGCTGATAACACCAAGGCCCCGGGTTCGGATCCCATATAGGGATGGCCGGTTCGCTCACTGGGTGAGCGTGGTGCTGACAACACCAAGTCAAGGGTTAAGATCCCCTTACCGGTCATCTTTTTAAAAAAAAAAAAAAAAAAAAAAGATATAAAGGAAACAGGAATAGTCATAGCTGATACTACAGCACTCACTGAAGGCCCTTCATGCCGTAATAACTCATTTAATCTTTCCAAAAACGCTGTGCGGTGGGGACTCTTGTTATCCCTCCCTGATTTACAGATGAGGAAACCAAAACCCTGAGGGTAGGTCACTCCCCTGAGGTCCTACAGCCAGGAAGTGGAAGCTCACTCCCAGAGTCAGGCTCCTAACCGTGGGCGTGTACGAGTTTCTTGGCACAATACTTGCCCCTACCTCAGGCAGTTGTCTCTCTTCTTTTCTGTTTTATTATACAAGGAATGCTAGGAATGACTTGCTAAATTAATTCACCAGAGGCTCTTGATCTCTGGGATGAAAACCCTGGCGTTATGCTTAAGACTACTGCTGGGCAGTGGGGCTGCCTGCTCTAGAAATCTGCCCTCTCATACCCCCAATCTGTGTGCCTCAAATGGACCACATCTCATTGGCTGTACATTGTAGGTAATCATAATGCCCTGTCACACCTTCTTATGTGGGCCCACTCTTCGTGGGACCTGGATCTTGCTGTTGGTCTATACTGCCTTACCCCTCAGTTCCAAAACCCAAGCAGTTCTGAAAAATACAGTTATTTTAGTAAGTTTGGGCAACTTATTTGGTGGCAAAACCTGGCCTGAACTACTAAAAAGCTGTTGACAGTCTTGATTGCTCCCACATGGTGTGACTGGAGGTTTTGCTGCAGTAATGGCTATGCATGTGATTATCAGGTGCTGCCCTGGACCTGCTGGGGGTGTCATTTACCGTGTTATGTGTGTACTGAGTTGTCTTTCTAAAATCTGAAAAATCCCCAGTTCCCAAACACATGCAGCCCCCAGGGCTACATGTAGAGATTATGAACCTATGTTCATCAGCTCAAGTGTCAGAGGTATTGCCTATGAGCACTCCCAGCTGAGGATACCATTTTTTGAGAAAAAGTTTTTATTTTGAGAGCATTGTAGATTCACGTACAGTTGTAAGAGGTAATAGAGATCCCAGTTCCCCCCAATGTTATATGTGGCATAAATACTTAAATATCACAATCAGTATACTGACACCGACACAATACAGATACCACTTTTTAAAGAAAAGTCTAGTGTTAGGTTTTGACCCAGCAAGCCTCAGTTCCTTAAGGCCCCGCCAGGCTCCTCCAGTCTGCAGCAAATGCCTTTTCCCAGGAGCAAGAGTTTGGTAGGGCCACTTTCATTGTCCCAGTCAGACTTTGCGAGTCATTGCAGCAGCAGCAGCTGCCTTGGAATGAGCACTTGCTTGTTGCTGGGCTCAATTCTCACACCATCCCTCCATAGGGGTGCTGACACCACCCCAACTTTATAGAAACTGAGGGAGGCTGGAGAGGTGGGGCCACTTGCCTTGGAAAGCCTGAATTCAGACCCAGGAGGCCCGGCCCCAGAGTGTGAGCTCATGACCAGTAGCCAATGCTGCCTCCCTGGAGGGTGTACAAGGGTGCTCTAGAGACAGGAGGCAGCAGGAGCTGTTTAATTGGCCCGGGCAGGAAAGGGAGATGGCAGAAGGGGAGCACTTCCCGGCAGGCGTAGTGGAAATTGGGAGCCTAGGGTTGGGTGCAAGTTGATCTGGGAGAGAATGGAATCCTGGCTTCACGCGTTGGTGACTTCACCTTTCTGGACCTCAGTTTCCTCATCTGCCAAACGGGGATTGTGATAATGCTACCACCTATAGCTGCATGGAGGATAAAATGAGCGAGTTAATTGCTCACAACGGTGAGCCGTGTGTGATGATCATTCCTGTTGCCGTTGCCACTGTTGTTATTGCTGCTCCCTGTTCTCTTCCTCCTGCATTGTCATCATTCGTCTCGTTCTTCATTCATTCATTCACTGCTAAGGACACAGTCGTGGCTGTTTTCAACCCTGCCCTCGTGGAGCCACCTTCCAGTGGGGTGGACAGACCTGTCCCCAGAAGTGCTCAGGGCTGGGGCAAGGGAGCCCAGGAGCCTGTGGGAGCCCAGAGGGGGTGGCTCACCCAGCCTGGGAGGGTCACGAGGGACTTTCTGGGGGAGGGGACAGTGGAACTGAGACCTGGAGGAAAAGGAGGAGCTAGGAAGGAGAGGGAGGTGGAAAGGAGGTATTCTGGGCAGGGGGCAGCCTGTACAGGGGTCTGGAGCTACGAGGGAGCTGGCACATTGGGGGATTTGTGAGTGGTCTGGCTGGGTAGTGCTGGGCAAACAGAAAAGATGGAGGGGTGGGTGGGGCCTCATGGGTGAGGCCACGTGGTGGTTTGGACTTTATCCAGGGTGTGGAGTCATAATAACCTCTCCCCATTAGAAGGGACTCCAGGGGCTGTCTAGTGCTGCCTCCCTCCCCTGCCTGCACCACACCCATACCCCAGGTAGAGCTGCCTGGCAAGGTGCCCTGGCCTGGGCCTGCCCAGACAGGGAGGAGACCATCTCCTGGCTCACCTTGGCTTCTTCCCACCCAGCTTGGTCCACACCCCTATTCCCATGGTGAAGGAGTCTCACCCCCCTGCCCTAGCCACCAACCCACAAGGGTTATCCGGTGTCTTTGCACAGGCTTCTGACTCACCCTCCCAGGGTTTCCACTAGGGGTCGCCCCTGCCCCTTGAGGGCCAGCCCTGGCACCTCCCTCTCTATCGCTTGTCAGGGGAGCTGTGGGGGCAGATCAGGCAGGATCTACACAGTTACAGTAATAGTTACAGATAAAGGTGAGGTCACTTGCCCAAAGTCACACAGCAAGTAAGTGGCAGAGCCAGGCTCTGAATCCAGCCCTGTCTGCTTTTGAGCTCAGAGGATCAGTGTGTGCAGGAAGCGAGGTAGGAGGTGGAGAGAGGGATGGGGATAGGTTTCTCTAACTGGGAACTTACTGTGTCCCAAAGCGGTATACCTAGCACTAATTGTGTATGATCTCCTTTAATTAGCACAGCAGCCCTGAAAGAGACCCACCAAGAGCAACTGACCCTTATGTGGAGTTTGTTCTTGCCTGGCACTCCTGCAGACATTTGACAAATGTTATCATTTAATTCTCTCAGTGGCCCTCTGAGGTAGACCCTGTTCTCAGACCCATCTTACAGAGGGGAAAACCAACCCACATAGGGGCAAACTCACCTGCCCAAGGTCACTCAGTGCATCATTGGCACAGGTGGGATGTGAACCCAGGTGGTCCGGATCTGTGGCCCGTAGTCTCACCTCTCTGCAGTGGAGGAACCTGAGGGAAATGGTGTGTCCTGGGTCTCCCAGGAGCCCAAGGTCAAGCAAGGGATGGGAGGCCGCTCAGTGCTGGCTGCTTCCTGCCAACCCAACTCCCTGCCAGTCCCTGTGCTTGTTACTTAGCTATCCTACAGCCTAGGGCGCTGGAATCCCTTGTCACCCCATTTTATAGATGAGGAAACTGAGGCTCAGGGAGTTTGGGTCATCCGACAAGTTGTTGGCCCTTCAGATGAGTCTGGGCTATTCATTGTGACTAGATCCAGCCCAACCTTTCCTCTCGACTCCTATCACCTTGGTAATCACAGCAGCGATAACAGTGTGTCTGCCTCAGCAGACACCTGCACTGGTCCTGCGAGGAACCTGAGGCTGAGCATTTGGTCCTCAGATGGGGCAACTGTTTTATTCTAATAGTAGTCATAGCTAATATTTATGAAGACCACCTGCGTGGGCTAAACTGTTTACCCCCTCACGGCAGCTCTGTTTGGGCAACTCTTGTTACGACCAGTTTGGAGATGCAGAAACCAAGGTTTGGAGGTTAACCATGTCCTGAGTTGTACCACAGTGCTTGGTGGCCTGGGGGGTCTGACCGAGGGCAGCCGTGGCATCCCCACCCCTGATTGTTCCTCTCCCCGCCCCCCCGCAGGTGGTGAAGGTGAAGCCCCATGACAAGGATGCCAAAATGAAATACCAGGAGTGCAACAAGATCGTGAAGCAGAAAGCCTTTGAGCGGGCAATTGCAGGCGATGAGCACAAGCGCTCTGTCGTGGACTCACTGGACATCGAGAGCATGAGTGAGTCGGGCCTCAGTGACCGGCCCTAGCCCAAACACTCCACGTCCTTGCACAAGCCCACCATTCCTCCTGTAAAGCTGGGGGCTGCAGTGGGCTCGGGGGTGTTCTCCAGTCCCTGTCCCCGGGCTGCTTTCTGGTGTTCTCTGCCTACATGTCTGGGAACTCCACAATACGAAGCTGGGGCTCAAATTCCCCAGTGGGCAAAGTAGGTGAGCCGTGACTCCCGCCACCTCACTCACCCTCATCCTCCACCCAGGCCCTTGCGCCCTGCTGGCTTCTCAACCTTCCACCCTGCTTCCCTCCCAACAGTAGCACCAGCCCCTCATGGGCCTCCCATATCTGATTCACCCCTAGGTGCTGAGAAGATTCAGCCATTCATCCCACATATAATTATTGAGCACCTACTCTGTGCCAGGCACTATTCTAAGACCTTGGGAAACAGCTGTGAACAAAACAGGAGCTGATACACCAGTGGGGAGAGGGGATGACCGAGTCGAGGAATGAGTGAATGTGCTAAGTGCTCTAAGATCGAGTGGGGTGAGAGGAGAGGGGGTGAAGGAAGAGAAGTGGCCTTGAGAGGCCCTGGCTGGGGAGAGGAATCTTTGCTCGCTTCATCCCTCTGTCGACCTGTGTGTCCAGTGGGTCTGCCTCATGCTTGGAGCCAGGACCCCCCGCCCCCCAGCCACCCTTACAGTGGCTGTGTGACTTTTGTTCCCCATTCACACACCAGCCATCGAGGATGAATACAGCGGGCCCAAGCTTGAGGACGGCAAAGTGACAGTCACTTTCATGAAGGAGCTCATGCAGTGGTACAAGGAACAGAAGAAACTGCACCGGAAGTGCGCCTACCAGGTAACACACCTGTCAGGTACAGTACAAGTATGCGAACACAGGATAGTGTCACTGCACTGGCAGGTGTGGGCACTGAGCAAAATGTGAGAGAAGGTGGTCATGATGGCTGAAACTTAGGGGAGTTGTGTGCTGGGCACCACGGGGTTGCTGCGTGGTCTCATCTAGTGCCACAGGGATTTGGGGAGGCAGCAGGTGGTTCCTTTTCACAGGTGCAGAGACACAGGGCCAGAGAGGTTAGGTGACTGGCCCAAGGTCAAAGGTAAGGAAGCAGCAACACCCTTGGCTGAGAGTTTTGATCCCAGGCTCTTGGGCCTTTGTGGCTGTTGGTTGCTGCAGGTTGTTTGGGACTTGATGGCTGATCTTGCCCTTGAGGCCCCCAGGAGGGCACCCAGCCACAGGGTGTTGAGCTGGTTGAGTGAGACTTGGGCTCCAGTACCCCATCTTCCCAGGACCCCTGCTCTGACCTCTCAGGACTGCAGGGAAGTTGGGGGACTGCTGGTGTCCACCACCTCCTAGGGTGGTTGTGAGGATGCAGGACTTCCTGGGAGTGGGGTTGACAGGCAGGTGACGGAAAGGAGTGTGGCAGGTGATTGGGAAGATTTAGGGAGCGGTGGGGACTGCGGCTAGCGGGGATTCACCTGCTGGCTAGCGGGGATTCACCTGCCCCCCCTGAAGGCAGTGGGTGAAGTTGCCAGTTGATGCACCCTAGACCCAAACGGCCTAGGTTCAAATCCCTACTTCCCCACTTGCTAGCTGTGTGACCATAGGCAGGCGGCTTCACCTCTCTGACCCTTGATTTCTTCCTCTGTAAATGGGGAAAACCCTATTGCCCCCACCTTGGGTGGTTGTGAGGATTAATTGAGTTTAGTCCACAACAGTGCTTAAAACACTGCCAGGTACCCAGTTAGTGCTCAGGATGGGTTCGCTATTAAGATGACCACGTGGATGAAAATGAGAGAAGAGGGGTGTCCACATTTCCGGTTGTTTTTAATGGACGTATAATGTGCACAAAATGAAATGCAGAAATCTTAGGTGTCCGGTTAGATGAGTTTTAATGGTTTTAAATGCTGCTGCCCAAACAACTTATAGAACATTTCCATCACCCAGAAAGTTCTCTTTGGCCCAGAGGCAGCCACTGATCTGATGTTTACCACCATAAGTTAATTCTTCCTGTTCTTGAACTTCACGTAAATGTTGTACAGGGTTATACTCTTCAGTATTGTGTCTTTTGCTTATCATAGTGTGTGTGAGATTCATACACATACATTGTGTGTTGGTAGTTCAACTATTCCATTGTATGAATAGTCTGGTTTGTTTGGCAGTCTTCTGCCGAAAGACCTTTGGGTCATTTCCACTTTTTAGCTTTTATAAATAAAGCTGCTGTGAACTTTCCGTGAACTTTCTTGGACAAGTCTTTTTGTAAATATGTCTTCATTGCTCATGTTAAATTTCTGTATTATCTTTTTTCTATTTCATTGATTTTCATTGATTTTTAACTTTTTTCTTTCTTCTGCATGCTTGGGGCTTAATTTACTTTCTTCCAGCTTCTGAAGGTAGATGTTTATGTTGTTGATTTTATACCTTTTCTTCTACTCAAAGCATTTAAAACTAAATTTCCATCTAAGCAGTGCTTTAGCAGCATCCCATGAATTTTGATGTTTTGTTTTCAGTCTCATTCATTTAGAATTTTTTTCTGATTTCTTATTTTTTTTTTTTTTTAAAGATGACCGGTAAGGGGATCTTAACCCTTGACTTGGTGTTGTCAGCACCACGCTCAGCCAGTGAGCGAACCGGCCATCCCTATGTGGGATCCGAACCTGGGGCCTTGGTGTTATTAGCACCGTATTGTTTAACTTTCAAATCTTTGGGGATTTTCTCGATATATTATTGCTATCTATTTGTAATTTAGTACTCTTTTAGTCAGAGATCATACTCCGTATGATTCAGTATGGGGCTATTTTTAGGTCTATCTTGGCAAACATGCAGTGTGCTTTGGAAAATAATATGTATGTTACAGTTGATAGTCATAGGACTCTATAAATGTCAATTAGGTCAAGATTGTTGAGACTGCTGTTAAAATCTTTTATAGTCTTTTTTTTTTTCTAATTCTACCATTTATTGAGAGAGGGCTGTTAAAACCTCTAACTGTACTTATAAATTTGTCTATTTTTCCCTATAGTTTGGTCAGTTTTTACATCCTGTATTTTGAAACTTTTATTAGGTGCACATTTAGGATTGTTATGCATCTTGATGAATGGGCTTTTTTATCATTCCAAAATTACTCTGGCAGTACTTTTTGGCTTGAAGTCCACATCTTCTCTTATTAATATAGTTAGACCAATTTTTTTTTTTTTTTGAGAGTTGCAAGCACTATTTATTTATTCAGCTTTATTTATATTTATTTTTGTGGGGTCCAGTGTGTTGTTTCAATACATGCATATGCTGCATAGTGATTCACTTAGGGTGGGTAGTGTAGTATTGTCCCCATTAGTTCACCCCTAAACACCCCCCCACCCACACCCGTCCCAGCCTCTGGTAACCATTGTTTTACTCTACTTTTTTTTTTAAACATATAAAGATTAACATCCTTATTGCAAAAAGAACTCTTAAAAATGAATTAGAAAAATCTAAGCAGAAATTTGATGAGGGACATGAGCAGATAATTCACACAACCCAGAGAAAGACATGTGGTTAATAAGTACATGCTAGGATCTGGTTGCAGGTGTAGGTGGTTGCAGGCCACGCAGGATCCCAGGCATGGTCTGGTTTCGATGCTGGCCTGGATGTGTGGCAGGGGTGGGGCTAAGGCTCATGGGCCCCCCCCCGCCCGTCTCTCAGGATACCCGTAGACCAATTTTTTTTATACTTAGTATTCGCATGGTATAAATTTTCTACCCTTTTATTTTCAGCCTGTCAGTGTCTTTAAAGTGAGTTTTTTTGTAAACAGCATATAATTGGGTCTTGCTTTTCTATCCAGTCTGACAGTGTATACTTTTTAATTGGAGTGTTTAGTTTATTGATTGATTGATTGATTGGCAACTGGCCAGAAAGGGGATCCATACCCTTGACCTTGGTGTTACCAGCATTGTGCTCTAATCAAGTGATCTAATCGGCCAGCCTCATTTATATTTAATGAAACTATGATATGGTTGAATTTAAATCTAGTCTTTATATCTCTTTTCTTTTCCTTTTTTTTTTTTTTTGGCAGGGGGGGAGGGGAGCGACTGGCTGGTCTGGGAATCTGACCCCTTGACCTTGGTGTTATAATCTGCGCTCTAACCAATTGAGCCAGCCAGTTAGCCCGATTGATACCTCTTTTCTAAATGTCCCATTTATTTTTCCCCAAATTCCTGCTTTTCTGACTTTCTTTTGTGTTAATCTAGAATCTTTGCATTTTATTTTATCTGTTCAATTGGATTTTGTTTTTTGTTTTTTAAAGATGGCCGGTAAGGGGATCTTAACCCTTGCCTTGGTGTTGTCAGCACCACGCTCAGCCAGCAAGGTGACCGGTCATCCTTATATGGGATCCGAACCTGGGGCCTTGGTGCCATCAGCACCGCACTCTCCCGAGCGAGCCACGGGCCGGCCCCTTCAATTGGATTTTTTGTTATACTTTAGAATGGGTGTGGGGAGGAAGGGAGTGTTTGTTTAGTGGATGCTCTAGATCAGCCCTTCTCAACTAAGGTTTTCTAGAGAATATGAGCCCTTATGCCCTTAGGCATTAATTGTGTGCTGTTAATTAACTTCTGTCTTGTGAATCTGGTACCCTCCTGTGGAGAACTGAGAAAGTAGCCTCTGAAAATATTTTCTGTGGGGCTTAATGATTTCCTAGAACCTGTTCCAGAGATTACAATATGCAACTTTACCTTATCCCAGTCTATCTTCAAATAATATTATGCTACTTAATAAACAATGTAAAAAATCTTACAACATGTGATTCCTTTTACTTTCTCTGGACCTTTGTGCTATGTGGTATAGCATGTGCTATAAGTTCCATGATAAATACATCTTTATTTTTTCTTTAATCAATATTTTAAAGAACTGTATGTATGTATGTATACATAGACTTGCTTAGACACACTTATATACATGAGAGTACTTCAGAAAGTTCATGGAAAAATAGAATTGAAAGATAATTTTGAGGGCCAGCCCATGGCTCACTTGGGAGAGTGTGGTGCTGATAACACCAAGGCCACGGGTTCGGATCCTATATAG